TTCAAAATACTGCTGAACTAAAATGCAATTCATCATTATTTCGCAACAACTCCAATTCACAATGTAGAATCATCCCATTTCCATCAGACCTTAGACATTTTCTTGATAGTTCTATGATATGCTGTGAATCAATTCTCTATAAACTGACTTTCACCATCAAGACAAACAAACATACATACATATAATAGTTATAAGACATTTCTCATAAAGTAGTCCTTTATTATGGCGAGAAAATTAGGTTTTACAAGAATTTTAAATCATCTTAGTCTTTAACACCTCCGGCCAATTGCACATCGACCACACTTGGTGGGCCCAGATAACGATCTACAAGAAGAGACTTTGTCCCAAAATCTAACATTTTTATCATTGCGACATTTACGACCCTTGACTTCACAGCAACATTTCAAGTCAAATATGTGACAACAGGAATCTCGTTTGTGTCGAACAAGTCTTATTTCATTATTTTTCGTTGGATCCATAATTGTATTTGTTCTTAACATCAAATCTTTCTCATCAATAATCTGGCCTTCGATTGGCTCGAATGCAACTGTATATTCTGAGATTTGTAAGACTGCAAACAGTAAGCATATTGTTGAAATAATTTCAATTTTCATTCTTCTATTATGTTTGAATTTAGTACGTTGAACTTGTAATATCTAGAAGTAAAAATCAATATATGTGTTCTCTCGTTAATTGATTTAGCTTCAGTTTTTATTTTAGGGAATAGTGTGTACTCCGATATTAGAATCTCTATTTTCACTTGAAGTGATCTATGATAGCGATGAAACCAATGAAATTTATTTATATTTTTATAGGTAAAAATCGTTGACTCCAAGCATTTTATCCCCCCGTGAGAGATGAAACACATATAAGATAAGGTTACATAGCAAACTTTTTTTAGCATATTGAGTTGAAGAGCAACGAAAATAATGATTGGAATTGCCCCATCGAACACATCTTAATCTATCTTTATTTTTTTTATCATAAGGTCATATGCGAAGTAAGTAAATCTTTTCTTTTATAATAAAACAAAAGGTTTTTTCTACATTGTATTCAATATTATCAAGAAAATTAATTACAATAATAATGGTTTTCTTCGTTCTTTATATTTTTATATTTATTACACAAATATAATGTTATTAAAGGTAATTCGTTGTACAGGTGAGAATATTATTTAATATACGATATTTAAATCTATTATGAATGCATAACTTTTTATTTTATTATCATTATTTTCGCCTTGGTGGCTCAGTCGGTAGAGCGTCAGTCTCATAATCTGAAGGTCGTGAGTTCGATCCTCACCCGGGGCAGATTCCTTTTTTTTTGTATGTTCTTCTACATATATATATATATATATATGATATCAAGTGGCGTTATTCTGATAGTATTTCTTCCGAGTTAACAATGCTCTTTTTATTTTTGTTGATGTTACATGAATATATTTTTTTTTTGTAAATTTAATCAATTGATTTTTTATCTGTTTGCAAAAAAAAACGAAATACAATTAATAAATTTGCTTATTCTTCTTGTAATCATCCAAAAACATGAACATCAAACACAAGACCAAAAAGAAAAAAACATGGTAGAAAAACAAACAAAGATATTTCATCATTAGTAAAGAAAGCTTTTGATGTTTTGTTTCTTAACGAGATAAACACAACAAACAAGAAAATATCATTTGTGGATAAATTGTTATTTAACGGGAAAAAAGAAGAAAAAAGAAAAAGAAAAAGAAAAAGAAAAAGAATATTAATAACTAAATCATTGTTGTTGAGTAGAAGGAGGTGGAGCAGAACGAGTTTGTTGTTGATGTTGATTATTATTATTTTGTTGATATTGAGCAGAGTTTTGATATCCATTACCATTATTATTGTTATAACCACGAGTATTACCAAAACGATGATTACCACCACCACCACCACCACGATTACCTTTAAAATATATAAAAAAATGAAAATAATTTCAATAAAAAATTTTTTACCTCGATAATTTGAATTTGATCCACCTCTACCTCGATTATTTTCATAATAGGGTCGTTGATTATTACCATATGAATTATCATATCGACCACCATCTTAAAGAAAAATATATAGTATAATCATTCTCTAATGTAAAAGATTATCTTACTTGATCCTCTCCATGATTGATTATAATGATTTGGTCTACCACGATAAGGTTTGTGTCCACCTTCATTTTGACCATGTTCATTTCGTTGAACATTTCCATTTCCTCGTTGATGTTGCCATTGTTCATCTGATTGTTGTTGATGTTGTTCATTTGAATTATCTTGCTGTTGATTTTCTATTGATGATGAAGAAGGTTGTTGATCTAATATAGAAAAAAAAATATATTATATAAATAAAGAAAGAAGCAAAATATACTTGAATTAACAATAGTAAATGTTTGTAAATATTGTTCTGAATTAGATAATTGATTATCATTATTATCTTGACTTTGATCATGTAAATCATTTGATAAAAATGTATTATCTTGAATAATTTGTTCAAGTGAAATGTTCGGATTTCTGGTATCAAATTGTAATGGATATTCATTTAAACTAGTATTATTATTAATATTAATACTATTATTATTATTATCATTATTAGTTGATTGAATATTATTTGTTTCAATAGTTTCTTGTATTGGTGCTGGTGCTGGTGCTGGTGTTTGTATTTGTGTTTGTGTTTGTTCTTGTTCCGGAGGAATTACAACAGAAGAAACTTTTTGAGGTTCAACATTTCTTACTAATTGTTCAAGTATTTCTCGTACTTCTTGGACATTTTTTCCAGGAAGATTCTTAATTGTTGTTGATGATGGACCACTTTGATAAATTGATAGAACAGTATCAACAGAACGAGATATTGAATTTGATGTATTATCTGTTGGAACAATAACAGCAGATAATTCATCTAATAATGTTGATTCTTCAGTTTTCAATGACTGAAAAAACAAAAGATTTATTATACTTAAAAATATAAAATATGAATTTACTGTTGGTCGATGATCAAGTAGATATCGAATTTGTGCATATTCTCGAAGACGTTGAGAGACTGATTGACGTTTTTCATCCGCGGCTAGTTTTAAAAGACGTTTCTGATATTTTGCTGTCTAAAATAAAACAAATTAACTAAGAATAAATAAAATAAAAAACTGACCTCGGTTTGAATTTTTTTGAATTGTTCACCGAGATCTTTAGCACATTCAATTTGACCAAGTACTTCAGGATATTTAGCTAATGCTTCTTTTTGATCTTTATTTAATTCTGCACCAGTTGCTGCTAATTGTTTATAACTTTCCAATTTTTCCTAAATAAAGACAAAAAGAAATATATATTATGTAAGTGAAGTTATTGGTGGAATCGCGCAATTCATCTTCACATATGTTTCAAGCATTCGATAGCACCATCTACAGAACTAAAAGCTCTACTTCAATCTATAGAAAATCTGAGTATACCATTCAAGAGAACTATTTGGAACATGTTCCTGAATGAGTCATAGGTAAAATTACATGGATCTATCGATAGTCTCATTGACGTAGGAGTAATATTGTTTGAAATCGTAAATCTAATACTTAATAGAAGAAATAATACTTTGAAATTTTTATTAAAAAATTCTTAGATCTTTGGCGATTTTGTTGTTTCGGATGATGAGTGTAATATCGACAATTTTCTTTCTTTTATTGGTTCATTGTCGAAACTAATGTCATTGATTGATGCAATTTTTCACGCTCTACAAATCACATCTCACTGACATCTCTTAATAGCTTTTTTTTTGTCAAGTAACACAACGTTTATGTTCGATTAGATTGCCTTAGAACTACTTCCTATATTAAATATAAATAATAGGTTGTATTAGTTGTTATTAAATGTTAAAATCTTATTCAATTAAAAATAATATTGTCTTATACTATATAATTATTTTTACTTTTGTTTAAACTTGTTGAGTATCATTATTCGAATAATGTACAAAACTTCCACAGGCTCATTATTTTCATATTTGATTCTCTCATTAACAAATTAATTAAATATATTGCCTAATTAATCTTACTAATGTTTATATCATTTTGAGTTCTCAAGTTATTTAAAAACTAGACATTGGTAGCGAAAGGATTACAATTCAGTTGAGAAATAATTCCTATAATAAATTACACGAGTATAATAAGATTAACGTTGAATATAACAAAAGAAAATGTTTGAAAATCAATGATTCCGAAGGAATCTTAAGTTAGAAAAGAGTCTTTTTGAATAATTATATAGATTAAATTTAATTAAGAAAGTTTTCAATATTATTCCCACTGAATAATATGTGGGAAAAATGAACATTGTATAATTCAAGAAAAAAAAACTGTATGAAGATTTCGAGATTATCAACACTAATTAATCTACTCTAACGTTATAAAAATTACCTTTCGTTTTCCTAAATTTCGTTGTTTTTTTTCGAAAAGAAGAATTGCTTGTGTTAATGGATCCGAATTATTTGGATCCGTTGATGTTAATTGTTGTGTTGATGATGATGATGATGGTGGTGGTGTAGATTTTCCATGAGTATTTGATGATGATGTTTGTTGTTGTTGTTGAAGATCAGTAACAGAAGGCATTCTCAACTATTTTCGATTTCTATGGATGATCAATTGAAAAACAAATCTTTTTTTAGTTTCTTTTTTTTATGGAAAAATAAACCAATATCTAAAAGAACAATGACGTTTTTATATTTAAAAAATTACGTCGAATAAATGAAATAAGAATAAGAAACAGTAAATATTGTCCTTAGAGAAACTTCAAGAGAAATCGAGGAGGCCAATCCATAAGGACAATTTTATGGTAGTACCTTGAAGTAGTCCAATTTGATTTTAATAATATTTTATATTTTACTTTTTATTTAACTTGAAACTCAAATACAATTCTTTGTTTAGATTATAGAAAATTAGTTTACGTTATACGAAATTTACTTACAGATGTCCTTATATACCGATAAAACACAATGTAACTTTCTTTTTTTCTTCTCATTATATATCAATAGATTAGAAGAAGAAGAAGAATAACAAAACAAATAATTCGTTAAGTAATTATAAATACATTCATATTAAGATTAATCTTTGATATATATTCACATAAGAATAAATCATATGATGAATTTTGTATGAATAATATAGGATTTGTTTCGTCGATCAAGTAATTACATCTAATTTATCTCTTTCAAATTACTGTCAGTTACATTTATCTATCGACATTATTTTTAAGTATATAAAAAGTGTGTAATATGAAATAGAAAAAAAACAGGTAAGATGATAAATCTTGTTGAATACAGACTGATAATAACAAAATAACAACAACAGAAAAACAACATAATTTTTATTTTCTCTTTTTCCAGTTCTCGCGTTTTTCTTTGCCACCGTAAGAAATATTATGATGTAAACTATGTATTATTAGAATTCTCCGCGATAGGATATATTTCTTTCTAGGAAAATCATATGATCTTACTCAATGTCCATGAATTATTTAAAAATTGAGATAATTAAAAGTTCACGATACATTCTATATGTTATATAAAATATTCAATATGAACTATGTAAAATGTCTACATTACGGTTTGCTCTGGGCAAAAATAAGTTGCTCTTCTATAAGAGAAGAAGTGTATTTTACTAAATATAGATGAGTTCATAAAGTACTCACATCTTATCCAATATAATTCGTTTTGTCTATTCATATTACCTAGATTTTGTTGACAGAACTAAAGAAGCGTATGGAACGAACTTGCAGGCTATTCAATCCGATCATGTTGAATAGCTTTTGATAAGATAAAGCTATCGGGCTCGAAGTTCCATAGTTGGAAAGAATGAAATCCAAATCATTTTCCTATTCGATTTATTTCAATTCACAGATATTGTAACTTCTATCAGATGAAATAGTAGTCTGAATTCTATTGTATACATGGTTATATTTTGACGTATAATAGTTTTATTATATATAAAACAAATTTCAAATTACAATTTGATCTGGTGGATGTTTCTAATGTTGAAAAAAGATAAACATAACATATATGAACGTATAAATACTCATAAAAATATATCTATGGTTATGCAACTATCTAAATTCAATAGTTTTAGTCGATCAAAACGATCATTGATAGAATAATGCAGACTGTTCATCAGAATCTTTACTGATAATTTAAAGTTGTATATCATTGGTAGGAATGAGAGTATATAATATTATCTAACTGTCAGAAACATTTCTTCATTTTCGATAATTGTCCTACGAATATGCATATGTTGCGCATTTAAAATGGTTAATGAAAACTGAAAGATATTTTAATATTCAAGTCATTATGAATACTTGATTTATAAAATTGAATTCTATAATAGTACAAAGTTATTCATTCATATTTTTGCTTATTTAAGATGAATATGTTTTTTATACAAGAAATAATATTTTGTACTTTTCATCAAACTCGAATGACACGTTGAATAATTAGATAACAAATATATTTGATCTTTAACTTAACTAAATATTCTTGTTAATGAAATAAATCTATACATCATGTTCTTCTAGAGTATATTGAATATAGGATATGTTATCTAAGAATATTCGATATGATTTATTTGTAAAAATCTATTTTGTGATCATGTGATAATCTTGTTAATTGAAGCTGAAATAGTAAGAAATGCCTAAGGGTGTATATCCTGTTAGTTCATATGCACTCTCCAATTAGTATGATTAAAAATATTCGATATAAAAGGTATGTTTAAGATTGATGTTGAACAGTATGAAAGATTTTAATGTGTCAACTCAAATAGAAAAGAAGCCCTGAAGGTAAGAATTAGTATAAAGAAGACATGCAATATTATAATTGATTTCACTCTATGTTATCATGTCATTTACACACGCAAATTTATTTTCTACATACAAAAACTAAGTTTATCAAACGAATACTTAGTTGGGTTTTCTTTTTTCAAGGATCTTTTCTTTTCTTTTCTTTTTTCTAATGTTATGTCTTGGAAAACTAATACTATCAGAAAAAGAACACAATCAAACGTTATGATTATTTGAGATAGAAAATAGTCAATAAAATATAAACGGATATAATTATTTAGACAATAAATATGAATTTCCGGACTAAAATCTAATTGATCAAAGTCCATTTCAATTAATCTAGAAAAAAAAAGAAGAAAATATTTCATTCATAGAAAACATCATTTATATTCAATAGAAAATCATCTCTTCTAATCAATCATGAAAATAAGTAAAAACTAGTGTACTATCGTTTTTAAGTTCTTTTACATTATTAAGATTTTCTTGTTAAGTGAAATACTCAATAAGCATTATTGTTATTTATAATGAATATAACTAGTAAGACTTGTCATTCTTCATAACGATTCTTTTGTTATTATGTTCAGATATTCATTGACTAAATAACAACAAGCGGAAATAGACGATGAAAGAAAATATCTTAATCGACAATGACATAATTCTATTGAAGAAAATAAAATCGAGAGAGGAAATTCATTCAAACAATAGATTATTTACAACTAAATATTCAAATAAGAAATCGCAAGAGTTATTAGATTTACTTTGAAGAAAAAAAATCTAAATATATAAACAAGTAAAATTTATTATCGTTCAATGAATCAAACTATTTTCGTTTTTTAGAAAAAGATGACAACTTATAGCCTTAGTAGTTGTTCAATGTCATCGAGAGATTTGTATAAATATAGAATATTTTCTTTCAAAAACTTTTAAGATGTTCACATATCTCTTGTATATCAGAATAGTAAGCGTTTTCTCAGTTATAATAAAAGTAATGATACAAATGTCAATCCCTAGTTTTCTCTAGTAGCGAGGTACTGAAAGAAGACTTTTTTTTTCTATTTTTATAAAATATTTATAAATAAAACAGCGCAACACAGATAAGCACCTTGAGAAAACATATTTTATAATGAATTGATAGGAATTTGTGTCTTCTTTCGTGGAATATATCACATACATTGACAAGTGACGCAAGATGAGAAAAATAGAAATATTTATATAAGATCGTCAAACAAAGATCTTTCAAAAAACGATAATATAAATATTTATATTTTCCTCATTTCAGTTCACTTATCAACTCATTATAAAATATATTTTTCGTAATCCATTTATCGAAAACATGCATCAGGCTATTCCATAGAAGAACAAAAAAGTGAGAACATTTTTTAAAGGTGCTTATTTCTATTACATTGTTTTACTTAACAAAAAAAGTCTTCTTTCATTACGTCTCAATCGAAGAGAACTAGAGATTGACATTTGTATCATTATTCTGATATAAAATAGATATCTGAACATGTTGAAATATGTAAGAAAACAAAAGGTGTTGTATGAGGAAATTAGAACTTGTGGTGCGCTGAGAAATGCACTTGTTTTATTTAATATTTTTCCTTCGTTTGATAAATGTGTAATAAACATAAAACTTTTTAATATTCTTTTCAATAAAAAAATAAAAGAATGTTTTTTCGATAGAATTCAATCTATTTTAGTTCTTGTCTGTCCTAGTTATCACATATTCATATGATTGATTAATAGACATCTAACATAAAACTCTAGTTGTTGCTTATTGGTGGATTTTACTAATGAAAAAAAAGGATTCAGAGAGAAAAAGATCTTCTCCCTTTTTCCTCTCTCTCTGTCTCGCTCTCTCTTTCTCTCCTAGTTTATCCTTGAATATTGTTCATGAAAAGTATTTTTTTTTTCTATATAATAAAAGTAGATTTCACTATGGACTTAGTTAAGTGTTAATTACAGGTAGACATGAATATATATAAAGATTAGGATTACTGTCAGTTGTTTTTTTTCCTTATGATGATGTTGATGATGATGATGTTCTGTTTTAGAGACGGTGCAACTGGAAGAACTACATTATTAATATAAAGTCGAAGACGTGCACATATAAGTCACTTGACGAAATCAATTAGTTAGAAATTCCTTTTCTTTTACGCTTTACTCGACGATAGAAAACGTTTTCCTCAGGTTGCATGAACACATTATTAAAAAAAAAGAAGAATGTTACTTTTCTCGTTCATCATCATCTCGGTGTTATTTGTTTAAATTTAATGGATATTGAACGAGAATAATAACACGCACATGTGTCTTTTATAGTTATGAATTGAATAGAAGTGATTGATTATTATTATTAAACGACAAATCAACATGGAATACATTTCTCATTTTACAAATATCATTCGAGATACAACACAAAATTTACTTTATAAAATTAATGGGTGAGAAATTGTTTTATTACATGATAGTTACATATCTAGGATGTTTTTCTAAGTTTATTGAGTTTCTCTCATTTATTTATTATCGAAGGTTCTTCTTTGATAATATTTGTATCAATATTTAAATATCATGATGTTGATGAACATGTTTTTTGTGTGTCTCTGTATCAATATAAGAATAAAGATCATCGATGCATTCTTTTTTTCATTAAAATTTCTTTTTTGTCTTTGTATAAATTCTATATCTTAGATTATATTCCTCGTATTTGGTGTTTTCTTTTATGTTTTATATTTGTAAGAAGAATTGTAGATTAGATTCAATAGTTAATTATAACTAAAATAAGATAGGATGATTAAAATTTCAAATGAATTTAGTTGAATCTTTCTATCGATAAGATTAAGAGATTTTCTTTTTCTATTAATTATAGATTGACAATGAAAATACGTTGTCACATTTTTTTAATATTTAATGGATAACTCATGTCATTACTTGGAAAACTACATAGCTAATAGTCAGAAGGAAATTAAAAGGAAAGGTGATTTGAACTATATATAAAAAAAAAAGAAGAAGAAGTGAGAAAGAAAGAGAATATTCAATAGGTTTTCATATTTCCGTTTGTAAATGAACGATTGTTGTTAAAAGAAGATTAGAAAAGAGGATCCATCACATATAGGAAATAAATAAATATATAAAATATATACTAAACAACTATTAAAACATAAAAATCGTTAGAAATATTATTCTCATAGAAACATCATGTTTTTTTCTTCTGTTGTACCTTCAGGCAATGAATCTTATTTTTTTAGTCAAGGTCGATAATTTCTTATATTATGTTTTTTAAATGATATTTCGTCTATGAATAAGTCAAGTATAAAACTATATTATATCATGACTTTTATTTTTCTTCGGACTTTCATCTCCGGAAGGGTTCAGGTCGATAAAAATATACTAGTAACAACCATTATGATAATCAATTTTTCTTTCTGTCTGTTTTCCATATGAGACATAAAGTAAATTACTTTTGTTAATAAATAGGTAACTATAATGAATATAAAAAAAAACATAAGTACGTTCCATTTGACAATTCTAAACAATAAAAAAAAACTAAATCTATATGTATATGTTGATAATCTCTCAAGAGAATAAAAATAAAATAAATTTTTCTTATTTCAAAAAAGGTTTTTTCAACGTCCTGATCCCGATGCTCAATTAGATTATGCTGAATTAGTTGATGATAATGATGGAACACCACATCGACGTATTAAAACAATTCCTGCAACATCATCAAAATATAATTCCTATGTTCCATCTCGTTTTGCTCTTATTAATAGAATTCGTACAATGCCTGTACGATATCAAACAGCATTTCTTAGTTCATTAGGTTTTCTTATATCATTTGGTATTCGATGTAATATGGGTGTTAGTGTTGTTGCAATGACACATAATGAAACAGAAAAATTACCCAATGGAACAATTAAATTAATCAAAGTAAATTTATTTTGTTAATTAAAAGAATAAGAAAATTTAACTTTTTTTGAAATAAAGTAGCTTGCTGAATTTGATTGGACGCCAGGAATTATTGGTATTGTTGATAGTTCTTTTTTTTGGGGTTATCTCGTTACTCAAGTACCCGGTGGATATTTAGCAGCAAAATTTCCGGCAAATCAGTATGATAATTTTTGTTTTGAAAGAGAAAGTCATATTTTATTTTTTCTATTATTTTTTTAAGTGTATTCGGATTTGCACTTGGTATATCATCATTCCTCAATTTATTCATTCCATTTGCCGCGAAAATTCATTATGGTTTTGTCATGATTTTAAGAATTCTTCAAGGACTTGTTGAAGTATATCAACATTGATTGTTTTTTAAAAATAAAATAATAATAATAATATGTTTTTTTTTCTATTAGGGTGTGACTTATCCTGCAGCACATGGAATATGGAGATGGTGGGCACCACCTTTAGAACGAAGTACATTAGCAACTATATCATTTACTGGTAAATCTTTTTCTTTTTTTACAAAAATAAAAATTAATTACTTTACTTTTTTTTCTATTTAAGGATCCTATGCAGGTGCCGTTCTAGGTATTCCACTATCTGGAATACTAACGGAATATTTAAATTGGCAGGTGGCTTTTTATTTTTATGGTAAAATTTATTAAAAATTAAAATAATAAATTTTATTTTTTTTGAAAAATTCTATTAGGAGTAATTGGAATGATTTGGTCAGTATATTGGTGGCATTTTTCATATGAACGACCAGCTATTCATCCAAAAATTAGTGAAAGTGAACGAATTTATATTGAAGAAAGTATTGGAGAAGCTAGTTCAATCGCTAACAAAGTAATATATTACAAAAATAAGAAAAACAACATGAATTCTATTATGAGAAGAAAAAAACTCTGTTGAATTTTCTAGATTAAAATCGATGCAGTGAAATATCTTGAGGAGAATTGCAAAAAGATTTATGTCATAATATCTGTCAATCTATTTTTTGTTATGCAAAATAAGTGTCAGAAATAGATTTAAGCCTTTTCTTATGAAAAAGAAATTGATTAAGAACTATTGATAAATAAAACCATTGGAATTTTATTAACAATCTAATAAAAAAATATGTCTTTTATTAATACTTGATTAACCAAAAAGAAATAATAAAATTTCGATGAATTTGTATATAAATTTTAGACTTGGATAAAACCACCTTGGCGTTCTTTTCTTCATTCAAGACCAGTATGGGCAATAATTGTAGCTAATTTTTGTCGTTCATGGTCTTTTTATTTATTAATCAATTCTCAAGCTGAATATTTTCGAGAAGCACTTGATTATAATGTTGGAAAGGTTTGATTTATTTGAATAAAACAAAAAACAAAAAAAAGAATTTTTATTTTAATAATTTAGGATCCATTTTTAGCAGCAATGCCACATTTAGTAATGTCATGTATTGTACCATTTGCTGGTAAATTAGCGGATCATTTACGAGCAAATTATTTAACAACAACGGCTGTTAGAAAAATTATGAATTGTGGAGGCTTTGGTATGGAAGCTGTTTTTCTTTTACTTGTTGCTTATGCAAAAGATCCTCGATTAGCTATTGGAGCATTAACAATTGCTGTTGGATTTAGTGGATTTGCTATATCAGGTATTAAAAAAAAGAATAACAATGGAAAAGATTCTTTTCTTACAAATATTTATTAAACCTCTTAGGATTTAATGTAAATCATCTTGACATTGCTCCTCGTTATGCAAGTATTCTTATGGGAATATCAAATGGTGTTGGAACATTAGCAGGAATGCTATGTCCTGTTGCTGTTGAATTTTTAACTAAAGAAGGAGTAAATTATTTTACATTATTTTTGCGAAATTAACTTCTATTTTGTTTTTGTTTTGTTTAAAGAAACGTGAAGAATGGGCACATGTATTTTTAATTGCTTCATTAATACATTTTGGTGGTGTTATATTTTATGGTTTATATGCATCCGGTGAAAAACAACCATGGGCAGAACCACCACCAGAACATGAAATATATCATCAACGTATAAAATAGAAAATATTTTTCTTTTTCTAATAAATATATATATTTTCTTTTGAAAATAATTAGAGGGTAATGAACATACTGCTTCATATGGATCAACAGTAACAGATGGCGGTGGTGTTATTGGTTATCAATCAGCAGATCCATTTGCTGGTGTAGCTAATGGAAGTTATACAAATTTTCCTAGTCGACAAAATGAACAAACAACATCAATTCCATTAACAATTGAAAATCCAATGTATCGAAATTATCGTTAAAATTTTCATTTGCAGTGATATATTATGTTCTTATTTTTCCTTAATTGACAATCATATAACCTCTTTTATCCGGATGCATTCTAGAATTTTATCATTATTTATTCGTGAGAAAACAGAAAAAAAAATATTTTATTGTTCAGTTTTGTTTTATTTTTTGTAATTGTTATATGTTGTCTGTCATTAGTTATTATTATATGAGTTTGAGTTGTTCTTATCAGTTTAAAAGATTATAATAATTTATTATGAATGTCAATGTAGAAGTATTATAAAGCAAAAGAAAGAAGAAAAAAAGGCGTGATATTAGTAGGGATCAATTACATGGTAAATGCATTGATATGATCGAAAACGAATAAGAATAAAAGGTATGAGTCTCGTCAAGCGATTATTGAATCGATCTAATAAAATAATATTTGTTCGATGTATGCGTAAAGTGTTGTTCGGATTTTTTTTTGCTTCTATTCATATTGTCAACTTCATTGCTCGTTTATTTTGTCTCTTCTCTTCTTTATACCTTTTGACAACAACGACAAATAAATTGAATGATTAGATTTCAAAGCATTAGGAAAGAAAGACGTGCTAGAAGTTGAAGAAAAATAAGCAGTTTTTAAAGGCTTTTCATCCTGAAAAAGTGACAGAGAGAGAGAGACGCAAATAAATAAAATCAAGTGCATCTAATATTAAAGCTATTGAAGACGAGAGAAATGAACACGTCTTAAAAAAGAAAACATTCACTCTTCTCGAATAAAATTAATTGTCCATAACACCGTATTTATACATTATTAATCAAATAAATATAAAAAAATCTCGGTCAGATAGAATTTATATTTTATTAAATTTCTTATAAAAAGAATTGTCCTTGAAAACAAAAACAACAACATGATTAATTTATCAGTTGAAAATGTATATTGTCATATTAAATAATCGATTAAGAAAGATTTATCTTGTCTTTTCCTTTTTGATTATAATATATATATATATATACAAACCTATTCTTGTCTTTTGATGATAATATCAACACTTCAATGTCAGATTTACTTAGTGAATATTCAACATAAAAAACAAAATTGAACCCGATCAAGTGTCTCATATCAAGTCTTATTGATGTATGAAACGTTTCTAACAGCTGTATGGCAAATGTGTATAGTGGTGTAAGATATTTACCTTTCTTTCTCTCTCTCTCTCCCTCTCTCTTTCTCTGTATGAATAATACAAGTTAAACTTTATGCATTATTAAAAAAAAAAGATTTGCCTTTGTGCATGTGTGTGTACTTTGTGGTGATTCGAATGGGCGCTATAATACAACACAACATCATTATTACAAAACGCGTCGACGACAACAATTAATACTTCTCTCTGTTATTAAAGTCAAATAAATGTAAGAAAAAAAACCCGAAGAAGTTTTATATTATTTTTTATTATTATTATTATTATTGTTATCGAAGAGAATTTTGTTCATGGTAAGTGATTTAAAATAAAAATATATATTACTTTTATTATTATTTTGAAATGATGATATTTGTTAGAAAAATATTTTGAATAGAAACTCGATTTTAATCATTGATTGATAAATGAGATTTTCTTTTTTTTCTTCTTCTTCTTCTTCTTCTATATTAAAAGCTATTTATAATATGTTGAGCTTTTCTATTCGAATGGATTAAATTACGAAGGTTTACTTTTCAAACAAGAACGCTATTTAAATGTCATTTATTCTCTTTTACTTTTCAACCATCGTTAAGAAAAAGCTTGTTAAATAAAGATTTGTCTCGCAACATTTCAAACAAAATTTCCATTGACTTTTACAAATCGATTAAGAGTTTATTAATCATTCAAATAAAGAAAAGAAAAATGTGAACTAATTATTAGTTCATAAAGCGGAAATGAGATGTTTGTCTTTGTTAGAAATTGAATATATGTTTTATAAGATGAAGAAGAAGAAGAAGAAGGAGAAGAAGAAGAAGAAGAAGGAGAAGAAGAAGAAGAAAGTGTACACTATTTGATTGAAGACAAAGAATAATTTACTAGAGGTCAAATTCAGGTCAAAAAAAACAACAAGACTTTCATTTCATAGATATAAATTCAATTTGACTAATACTCATCAATATTTAAGAAAAACTTATCAAAAGATTTTTATTTTATATATTAAATTACCATGTTATTATAATCTATAATCAATCACAAAATTAAAAACCATATTAAATCTATTTTTATCTTTACTAATAAAGATCAAAAAAACACGAAAAAGTACTTATTCAGGAAGAATTTTATTATTAATTAGATCTATGAGGAAAAACAAATGTTTTATGAAAATTAGTTTTCTTTTTTGTGTCTTCTTTATTTTTACACATGTGTAAATTATCAATGAAGTTCCTGTACTTTCATTGACACATTCAATGACATTTTCTGTTATCATCATTGACCGACAGAAACGAGTAGATGATATTATTTGCTATATCTCATCAACAATATATACATGTCACATATGCATTTATGTAAACACATAAAGAAACATTTCTCTATTTGTCCTTCTTCGTCATTTTTATATTAGTACAAATGAGAACGTTTTTTTTTTATTCCGCATGAAAAAAGAAAGATCTTGAGATCAATTTTTTTTCCAATCTAAATGATATATTTATCCAATGAAAACAAATCATAGAATTTTATGTTCATAATTGATTGTTTCAATAAAGAACAAATAATTCTCTTGAGTACTCAATGACTCTTTAGTCAATATGGAAGATATATACTTAGCTAGCGTTTTTTTTCTTCTTCTTCTTCTCTACACCTACTTCTTTACAGTCATATTATTATCGTACCATATGGAAACTCTTTTTTTTTTTCTTCTCTTTTTTCCTTCTCAACACAAAACAACCACCACCACCACCATCATACACATTTGACAACAATCATTCGGAGAATAAGAGAACAACACTGTATTGATCTAATTGACTCTATCATATTTTTACGATCTACTCGCAAGAAATGCATCTATATATATATAAATATATGTATAGAAGAAGAAAAAATATATATAACCCATGGCATACAGACATATATTCACCTCATTTGACGTGAAAGAAAATGCTGTTTTGCGCATATTATGCACACAAACACAGAAAAGTGAAAAATCAATCATGCTTACACAGAGTGTATGTGCTTATATTGTACTATGCACTCTGCCTTCTTTTATATGTACATATGTACATCATTATGTTGAAACATGGTAATACACTAGTAGATCGACACGCGCATATATAAATGTCTACATATAGCCGTTATCTTAACATATTGCCAATTGATACACTGGCAAAAGAGTTTATATTTTGGCAAAGATAAACAAGCCAAAACGACGAATAAATGTAAAACCTTGATTTTTGACATCGTTTCATGTCATTCATCATTAAATAAATTTATTATCATTACTTCATAGAACAAACATTAGGTAAGTACTTTCTATCATCAGATATATAACTCATTTAGTTAACTGTCGTTTACAAGTATGAATATTACTCTTTACATCTATTATATGTATGATTTTTTTCTTCAAGATAATTTCTATTTATATATTATTTTGAAATTTGTATAATTTTTTTGTAATGAAAAGAAAAAGAAGAAGATTATTGTCTGTTATTCTATTTGAAGATTGTCGTTATTGATTATAGATTTGTTATAGAACATTCATCCGATGTACTTGTTATTGTCAGAAGCATTCATCATTGTCGTTCTATTGCTCTTCATCTTCTTCTTTTTTTTCTTTAGATATATTAATATATATTTGTGCATTGATTTGAATATAACCAAGGATAGTTTATGTTGTATGATGATGATGATGATGATGAGAAACTTGTTCTTGAATGTATGTATAATGATAATAAATATATATTTTTTGACTCTTCTCGAACATAGATAATAAAAGTATGTATATATTAGCTTGTCATGGATATAATTGATAGTGTTTTTATGACTCGACAAATTAGTTCTGTCAATTATATATACTCAATGATCAGTAAGTTTTAATAATACATTTAATAAATAGCTTTTACTTTAAGAAAGTTTTAATAATTTATTTATATATTCAAACTAAAATGACTTTTAAAAAACTATTAAAAAAGTCATAGCATTTGTGTTTTCTTCTTCTATCTAGATTTAATGATGAATATTACATTTATTTTCCAGAAATTATCACATTTTTATGATTATTGACATAAAGGTAAATTAAAAGGTTTCCGTCTTCTTCTTCTTCTTTTTCTTTGTAAATATTAAACGCGTAAAAAAAAGTCATTGAGTATCGCCATCTATTCTAATTAAAAATCGAGTGTTTTTTTTTCTCCTCCAAACTTTAATGAAGTTTTATTTAAGTTGAACGAGTTTGTACTGTTTTTTAAGGTCAAGAAATAAAAATATCGACGTTTGTTAGAAATAATGAGGAAAGAATAACGGAAAATCTTTTTATCGTTTCTTACGAGACTTTATTTACTTTAGAAGGGTGGGAGTTATATGATGAACAGGAACAATCAGTATATAATCATTTGAATGAAAATCTTTCTTTGGTTAGTCGTTGATTACTAAATTAAAAAAAACGCGATTTCTTTCTTTCTTGTTTGGTAAAGATGTATTTCTCTCTCTCTCGTTGTTGATACTTGAGAATGTAATTTGTTCAATGATGAACATTTTTCTATATAAAGTGCTATTGACATAATAAAAATGAGCCTTATTTTCTAAACTAGTTTCTTCTTTAGAATAATTGGCCTAAAGCACAATTTATTTCGTAGAGAAAAAAAAAGAAACAATTTCTTCTTTTTTTTCTATTTATTGACATGATACATATAGACTTCTTTTTTTTTTTATTTCATAAAATAAAAAATTTGCTATTTAATGTAACATTTATTTTGACACACATATGGGAATAATATGTTTATCATTTCAGATGTTCGTTTTTCTTCTTCTTCTTTATTGAGATTGATTAAAGTCCAGAATAAGAAAATAAAATCAAAATTTTTTTTCATTTGATTAGAACATGAGATTGATTATTTATTATATATAATTAGTATAATAAAGGCGTTTCTCGTCTTTCTTTGTTGTTCAATAAAAACGAATAAATTGTTTATTTTCCTGAATAAGATAAAATCAATTTGAATTGATAATTTTAATTGCGGAAATCCAACTGTTTTCTCTTATCGCTTTTTCCTATCATTTATGAGTGAGAATCATTTTCCTGTAAATGTATGCAGACACATCCCTTCATCTCGTTAGTGATATTCTCATTCCAACATTCTTTTTTTTTTTATTCTATTCACAACGGAAACGTTCGTATGCATTTTCAAACATATTGACAATGAAGAGGAATTCAAGAATATTATGTCTGTTGAGGGCGATTTGTCATTAAGACCTGTCTTTTCTTTTTTTTCTCGTTTTCTTTTTCTCCACTGCCCAATGGATCAATGATCATAGAAGGAGCTCCTCAATGATCAATAGTTTTTGGCATATTCAAAGAATGAAAGAGAGCGTTTTTTTCACCTCTCTTGCTTTCTCTTTCTCCTTCGTCTTCTTTTGCATTTGCGCAGAGGGAATCAAATGGAATATATATTAGAGGGAGAGACGAGAAAAAGAGAAGGGAGAGAGAGAGAGAGAAAAGATGGATGCCTGTCGTGCTTTTGCCACTACCGAGATGAGATGAAACGAATGAATGAATGAATGAAATGTGCGTAGTGCCTATTAATAGTAAACGAGACTGACGTGTCTCACATAACCATGCATAGTTGATATATAAAGACATGAGAAGAAAATCGAGGTAAGATTTATTTTCGATTTGTTAGATAGTAGAAAAAGAAATATTTCTTTTTTTGTTTGCCCTCACCTATGTTAATTAGTTACTGAATATTTTAATAAAGAAAAAAAGAAAGTTGTCAATTAAAGACAACTATGTATATAGACATACCTTATCTATTTATTAATAAAATGCCATAGTTTTTCAATAGAATAGAAATTCTTTAACAGTATTGCTCATGTTAAAATAAAATAAATTTTATATTGTTTCTTTCTTACTCTCTGTGGTTTTTTTTTCTTCTTTATTATTATTCTATTCAAGTCACGTATAATCTATTATCTATTTCTTTTAACAAACCAAACACATTATATGATTTCTTTTTCTTTTAACTAGATATATTTAAAATGTCGATTCTTATCTATTAGAAAATGAATTTGTGTATGTTTTTTTGTCGTAAGTAAATAAATTTAATTTTCTTTTTTTGTAGAATTTTGAATCTTGTAAGAGATAGTTAAGTGTTTAGTTGTACATTTGTTTCTTTCTTTTTTTCTTCATTTTGACAAAGTTTATATAAATTGCCTAAAGGCTTTCTACTTTGTAAAATTTGTTTAAATATTTCTGTTTGTTATTAATGTAATGGTATGCATGTATGCATATCATTAAGTCAATCAATGAATGTCTATGTTTCAAATAAGCATTTTTCATAGAAATGAGAAGTGAGTTTTATCACATATAAATAAATAGAATTTCTTTTCTTTTCTAAAGGAAAAGTTCTTTTATTGAACAATGTTCATAACTATTAAGTGACGAAGAAATATTTTTACTTTTTTTTTTCTTAATTGAAATCTATATCTGTAAATTTAATTTCGTTGATGTTATATTCATTGATTGATAAAGGTGTTTTATTTCACATTAAAAAAGTCTCTTGGGATTGTATAATTAATATTTCCATTTGATTTCCGGTTAGAAAAGAAAAGGTAATTTATATTCAAATTAAGTTTTTGCCTTTTATATTGAAAACAAACAATAAAGTTTTCTTCTTTATTTATGTTTAAGATCAAATTTTCTATTTAACATAAAAGTTAAGCTGATTTTAGTTAAGATTGTTATATAAATACATTTCTATTTATATATAAATATCAATTGATGATTGATTTGAAATATTGCAAATGAAAAAAAAACTAAAGTTGAGTAGGGAAATCATTTGAAAGAGTATGAAACCTTTATTTAACTTCGTTTTCTTTTCAATTCATCCAATATAGTTGATTTGATGATGAAAAGAAAATGGTTTTTTTTAACTTGAAGTATATCGGTTAAAACGTATGAAATAATGAAAATGAAAGTATCGAATTCTTCTTTTTTTTTACCACTTGACATTGGTTGATGAATTTATTTTGAGTGTTCTTTGTTTTGTTAAGATTTCGAAATAGAAAAAAAAAAAAAGAAAAAAAGAAATTCATATAAAAATGTGTATCGTCATTTGCCGCCATCTAGACAAGTGTCAAATAATGTTATGTCGATGTTTATGTCTCCGAACTGGTTGAAAAAAATGCTTGTTATTATTTTTTGTTTCATCATATAAGATTAATTATTGAGCAAAAGAAAATAAAAATGTTTATTTGATTTATTTTAGATGATAATTATTTTATTTTTTTCTTAGAATTAAACTTTAAAATAACAAAAAAATCGATTCTAATATAATCATTCCATAAGATTTCTCATTTATTCTTTTTTTCTATCCGGTGTTATTTATTGTATTATTTTCATTTGCAATAATGATGAAAATTTCATTTTAATAAACAAAAATGTCATCAAGGCGATCATCAATAACAAACGACGAAGATCAAAAAACAATTTCATTAAAAAAACGTTGGTTAGCACATCATCATGATGATCAACAACAAGTTAAAATATCTTCGGAATTAAATCAATTAATACGTGAATATAATTTTCAAGATTGGCAAACAACAACAGTTCTTGTAGAAAAAAATTCTAATGAATATATATCTGGTAAAATACAACAAATTGGTTTAAATGGTTATTTATCTATTGAAACAAATGATGAAACTATTGATATTAATATTTATGATAATATTTTTGGTATTTTATCTGATAATGCACCATCAATTCAAGATTTAATTGAAGGAAAATTAATTTTATGTAAAAATCAATCAAATCAACACATTTATCAAACAGCAATTATTACTGAGAAAACAAAAGAAGGAAAATTTCAAATTTTATTTCACAATCAGAATGAAAGTTTATGTGTACCAAGACAAGCTATTAGATTATTTTTACCACCATGGCATGATGGTTGGAATTTTTTATTTAAAACATTTTCTTATTTTTACTTTTATTTTATTTTCTAGAATTTTCAATTGATTGGAATGCAGCACTTTATCAAACACGATTAATTCCTATTAATAATACTCGAAATGGTAAAGTTGGAATACAGAGAAATTATTTTAAACTTATACAAATCATTTAAGGAGTTATAGGTTCATATAGTAGGATTTACACTCAATTGAGTTCGAGGAAAAAGTTCTTCATTAATGAAGTTGAGCATAAGAATTTTATACTTACAAAATTGTACTGAAAATCTCTAGCGTGCTTTGACCAAGATTTGACGGTATACACAATTGGTAGGTATAAGTCATTCGAATTAAATATCTAGAATTTTGAGGAACGTATTCGTATTAGTTAATATAAGTCATATTGATCGTTGATTGAAATAATGAAAATTATAAAATTGTAAATAATTAATTTTGTTTTAAATAGATTTATGTATGAGTCCATCATGTGCAGATAATTCTTTATCAATAAATTCATCAAATTCTCAAAGCAATATTTTATTAAATAGTTTAAATGAAAAAACCTATAGTAAAGGTGATATAATAATAACAGATTCACAAATTCGAAAACGATATAATGGTAAACAATGGCGTCGGCTTTGTTCACATGAAAATTGCCCGAAAGAATCTCAACGATTTGGTTATTGTTCGCGACATTTATCACAAAATGATAAAAGACAAGATAATTCATCAAATCATACATCACCTTCGACAACACCAATTCTTTCATCAGAACAATCATCGAAATTTTTTAAAGAAAAATCTGCTCGTCGTCCAATTAATTCTTTTATGTTATTTTCTCAAGAAGAACGAGGAAAAATTCATTTAGAAAATCCTCATCGTGATAATCGAAATGTATCAAAAATTTTAGGAGAAAAATGGTATTCATTATCACATGAGCAACAACAACAATATAAAATACGTGCCAAACAAATCAATGAACAAAATAATGAACAATTAAGACGATCAGCGAGATTACAATCAACGAATAAAAATATTTCATCATCATCATCTCCTCCACCACCAGATCCACTTCAGGCTTTTGCACAAGTATATTTTGAAAAATAATTTCTTTTCTTAAGAATAACTTTTCTTCTTCTATTGAATAGATTTGTACAAATATGCCTAAATTAACTGAATGTTTTTCACCAATTACAAAACCATCGCTAGAAAATACTTCAACAAAAACAAATGTTATTACACCTGTTCCTATTCATGTGAATTCATCATGCAATAATTCGGAGCAATTACAAATTAATAATTCAAATGATGGTAAAAAATAAGAATCAGATGAATTTTTTTTTGGAATCTAGTCGAATTAATATTAACATTTTTTAAAGAATTGATATATTTAGGAAAAGGATTGATTTTGAAAATCGCTAAAAAAACTATCAATTATTTATCGCCAGTGAGTCTACTGGTACAATGTATACTGAAGCACCGACATTTGCCGTAATAGATATATATGTGATATCAGTAGAAGTCGACCTTTCAGTGCATACGGCGTCGATGTACCCAACGTTGTAATAACACTAATCAGTGGACCGAAACTACTTATCGGTAGATTTAAAATCCCTATTGATATATATATGTATGAGTCACGAGTTAATATTATTAATTATTATTGGAAATTTGAGTTTTTGAAACATTTTTCTAGGATATTTGGGTTCGATTATTATTATGAAATCAAATTTCGAATATTTTATTTGTTTTATTTTATTAAATTATTGTTATAATAAATTAGATTATCTGACAAAATCAAATAATTCTTTAGTATTGGGATTTCTAAATGATTTATTTGTATTTCTTACTATTTAATCGTTCTCTTTTACACTGACATAAGAGATAAAATATAAAATACGCATAAGATTATTAAAATATATAGATTTAGAAAACAAGTTATAGTAGTCATAAGGTTTGTTTTCATATTCTATTATTTTTGATAAAAAATAAAGATACATTCAGAAATACAGTTAATTTATTCTTCTCTTATTAATTCATTGCTCGGTTGTGTTCGCATTTGACTTGATTTTTAGTCTAGTAGAAGATAAGTACTTCTTTTTACGTTTGTTATGAAGAAAATATTTCGTATAACATTTGAATATAAATAAATAATTTATAGAATTGATTCTTCTATATATATTGATTTATTTAGAAATGGAAATTAGCAATAATGTTTCATCAGCATCAGATAAAGTATCATATTCAACTGAACATTCATTATCAAATTCACCTTGTCAATTATCTGATACGGAAACTTGTCGAACTATTTTTTCATTATATATTAATCAACGTAAAGCAAATTTAGATCTTGAACAACAATTACAACATTTAAAATCATCGAATAAATTAATTTCTTCGAATGAACATCAAACACATTCATTTAGTAAATAATATTTTCTTATGAAAAAAAAACCTTTATTTTATTTTATTTTTCATTTTAGTATCATCATGTTCATCATCAACAGGTTATTCAAGTGGTTCATCAATTGATGGAAGTAGTACAATTCTATCAGCTTTTAGTTCACGTTCAAATAGTTCATTATCCGAACGAAGTAAAACATCACCAATATCATTTAAACCAATATTACCTATGAAATATCAAATTTCAACTGATCATAATTTTATTTCAAAAAATTCAATTTTACAAGAAGAGGAACAAACAATTTCAGATAAACCATTGAATAAACGACGAAAAATAATTACTTTCGAGGTTTGATAATCTTTTAAATAATCATTCCTTAAACTACGAGTTCAAATAAACAGTTGCGCAGTTTTTACTTTTAATCGAATCGTATAGAAGTTTTTGAGATAAATTTTACAAGATAGTATCGAAGATGATTCATAATTTCAAATATATTTTAGGATAATCAAGGTCCAAGAACTCGATCTCAAAGTATAAGTGAACGTAATGGAATAAATGATTTATCTTCAATTGTAACACGTAAACGAAAAGCATCTATTGTTTGTGGACAAAATCCAAGTGATATAAAACAACCAACGACTGATTATACGAAAAAATTAGATGGTAAATATTTAGTTTTAATTAAAATAAATAAACAAAATTTATTTTTAGAAATGAAAAGTCAATATATAAAATCTAGTTCAACTCGACATTCAACAAATGAATCAACAAATAAAATACAATTAGCATCAAGATTAAAAGTTATTGAATTTCTTAAAAATCAATTGTATCCGACTGGTAAGAGATAAAAATAAAATAAGCAAATTAGTAACACATTTCAATATTTTAGATTCATCAATAACATCATTTCAATTATTAAACGAAGAATTATTTCCAAATAAACGTCTTCTTATTCAACGTATTAGAGAAATTCGACAAAAATTAATGAGTTATTTAAATCAAGAAAAAATTTCATTAAATTCATCATCTTAAAAAAATTATTTTTATTCGATGTTGTGCCATACATATGTTGTGGTAGTCTTAGTCTCTTTAAAATTCTCCTAACGGAATGATATATCTTTTCTTCTTCTTCTTCTTCTTCTTCTACTTCTTCTTTTTTTGCCTCTTTTCTTCTTCTAGTCCATGTTCTTTCGTTTACCTTTTAGACAACAACAAAAACAAAAAAAACTATGTGTGTTTTCTCTTTAGGTACAATTTATTGCTTTTCTTTTTTTTTTTCTTTCGTGGAATTTCTATCATTATAAAAGACTCGTTATTTAACGTGTCTCTAAAATAAAATAAACAAGACTTTATTCAAATGATGACTTTTTATTAATTTGTCATATGAGAAAAAAAAACACAATTATCTTTATTATTTGTTTTGTTTTGTTTTTTGTATGTAGATTCTTTTTATTTGATAATTATCAGAAGAAATATAACGAAAAAGAGATTTATTATATTCAGTAAATTATCATTGTTTTAATTAAAAAACTGTATCTGTATCTCCTATAATGATGATTCAATTCCAATATTTTAAGATCGCTTACTAACATCTATTGTATGACAGTGGTGTAGCCAGGATTTTTAGACTTATGAACAAACTTCTCTCAGGTCGAAAAAAATAGTTTGCTTCCTTGCCGCAGGGTCAAAAGTACATTTTTTCGCAATAAATCTTTTGATTGGTCAAAAAACAGTCCAATCAATTTTGGGAAAGAATTTCTTTGCTTATTTCTCAGCAAACATATAGTCATTGCCAGTACATTTTCGGGGTTTATAAGCATACGCTTTCATTTGAGTCTAGAACATCTAGTCGGTTTTAGTTTATTGTAGACCAACAATAACTTTTAATTCTTGATAATTGACTGAAACTTCTCTCAGGAGAAGCTACTGATATAGGTTACGTTGCCAAGAAAATTAATAAATAACAAATATTTGGATACAACATACTATCCGTCTCTTTAATTATCTCACTTAACCATTTTAAGTAAATCATTATACATTCGCCCAAACTTACAATTGAAATACAAGAAGCGATTCTTCTCTTTTTGTTCAAATTCTTCACAGAAAGAACAAGCAAAAAGTGCAAGTGCGCTTCACACTGACGAAAAAAATACAGTTACAATTTAATTCAAAAATAAATAAACAGTTTCGTCAATATTCTTATCAATAGATAATTACATATGTCATTATATCGGATGACTATCAAGAACGTTTATCGTTGTTTTCGACTAAATTTGAACTAGATCGGTCGTATTTTTTAAGAAAAAAATTCTATTCTCGTAATATGATGATTTTGTTGAGTATTTATATTGGTAATGAATAAACTTAACATATTTTTAGTGATGATCTGACAATGACCAAGTTATTCTTATTTTGAATCTGAATCTAGATTTATATTCTAGTCACGATAAATATTTCTCTTGTATTACTCATTTTATAAAATTTAAAAGTTATTAAAATGTTTTCTAATAATTATATAAAAATGAAGTATTCTAAAAATCAATAACTATTTGTCAGCAACGTGACTTCACCAAATTGAATAGATGCATTTTTCAGAGATGGAGAAATTTTCCATAGCTAATTTTTATATGTTATATGCATGTCAAGTTACTCGAGATATTGTAAAAGAATCAGCTTTAAATAATTTTGTTGAGAAAAGCTATCACTTTCCAGTTTCGTTTAACAAAAAATTCGATTTACTTTTCATTAGCGACGCGACAATGTACAAATATATGAAAGAAAAACTGCTAGATCCTTTCTCAGAAGCTTGAGATAATGATAAGACGCATATTTTTATTTTGCGGCTTGATGATCGTTTTTGGAGTTGGATCTTGCTCAAAATTTTAACATAGATATGCATTCAGCCCAAAACTTCCCATTAAGTTTAAGTAAATAATAGATGAAATATATATTGCAGAATAGATATACTGATTTATATTTGATAGATTTGCATGAATACTTGTTTTAATAAGCTTTCGTCTATTTAATTCACTAATGCATTTACTTTTCTACTCCTCGTTAATTTATGAATAAAATATTCTAAAATAATTGATATATTTTTAATGATATTATATATTGAATCACTTCTGTGTATACTTTCTCTTGCGCTTAAAAAATTTCATCATTAATCAAAAAAACCGGTTGATGTAAGTGTAATATTCCTCTTCGTCGTCATAACAG